ACAAGAAGTGAAAAAAAATTGTGAGTAATCGACACTACATGATCGAAAAATTAGAGAGCAGAATTGATGATCGAAAGGGAACTTGGTCACGTCCATGTGGCATCGACTGTAGATTTTTTGAGGAGGAGCCCATTGTACTAAAATCAAATCCATGGGATGAGCATCAGTTGTGAGACTAGTCCAATAGAAACCGTCTCCTACATTAAAACCGAATTAGAGTTAAGATATTTGCGAATGGTTCACTTTAAGGTGCAATTTGAGAATCATTTGAGAGATTTATAACAATTGCTTTTTAAGAATGTCTTTTGGGGTTTCACTAATTTGATTTGAATGCGAATATAGCTGGTTTTGCTGACCTCTACTGCTCCATTTTTATAGATTTAAATACGTTGAAATTATATCAATGCATTCTGCGAGGCTATTGTTAGAGGAAGAAAACAACCAGTGTCTTGCTTGTTCAAAAAATTGGATAATATGTATACAACATTACTTGAAAAATTAACATGTCAAATTTCTCTAGTTATCAAAATGTACTCTACTAAATTGACAATTTCACTTTAGCAGTATCTCCAACCTTTTCCGTTTACTACTTGAACATAAGCAAAATAATCTCAGCTGGTAGTGATGCAGAAATAAGCTTGCCTTCTCCATCGTAGCTTACGTGGAGATTGGTGCTGACAAATCCTCTCGAAAAATCGCGAGCGCTAAATGAGTGATTTTTTCAAAATTGAAAGAAAAAGCGGCTTTCGATTAAATTAGAAGTTTCTAAATTATATCTTGCATCTGCCTTGCTCAATTCGAGCTCACTCACTCACTTTGAGCGTGAACTAAATTCCTCTTAGAAAACGCACTTGTTGTAAAGTACTATGTCGGGAGTCCACAAGTATGTGGTTCCTATAGTGAGCTTGGAAAGATTTCCAAATTGACATGGTTCCCATCTGATGCGTTCATCATGCCACGATTGCTCAACCCATGCGTTCAGGGCAAGCACTTGGTTGCGCTCATCCTGAACTAGCAGACTTTAGAGTAATTTTGAATAACTCAAAATAAACCTACAATATTGAAAATATGCGTTAAAGTCAGCCCAATATAGACGTTGACTGTCTTGCTCGCGTTAAACACTGGGCGAACAGCTGTGTCGTAGTCACGCAGAAGATACATGAAAGTCTCTGATTTCATGTTGTCCATTTCTGATAATGCACTCACTTGAACAGTTTCTGCTCGTCGTTGACAAATTTGGTGAAATCGAGTTCGGTCAAATTTTTTTCGGTAGACGATGAAGTCTCAGCTGAAAGGCTTGCATTGAAAGTAGATAATAGGCAGGGGCTTTGGTGCAGAAACTTACAGCTTTTGATGATTTGAGAATAACTTAGGCCGAATAGTTTCAGCCATAACATGACCGCAGCTGCGCCGAAGCGAGTTTCGAAGGTTCGCCTTGTTGCCAGTTCCATGGCGTATTTTAGCTGCTTTTTAAGATGGACAGTTGAGGAATAGCAACAGGAACAAAAGAAAACTATGCTGCAGATTACCAAGAAGGATAAAGACGAGCACGGAAAAAGCGTTGTATCTGGAAGAGACGACTTTATAGCAGGATTGTGATGAGTTTTTCGGT